GGGCCTCCCGGCGGTCCCCGCTCCGAGCGGGCTGCGCGCGGGAGCAGCGGGGGGCGGCGTGCAGGGCCCGGAGGCGGCGGAGGAGAAAGGGTGCGCAGCCCGGAGGCGGGGTGCGCCGTGGGGTGCAGCGGAAGCGGGGGTCCAGGGGGGAGAACTTCGTAGCCGTCATCCTTTTTAGGAAAAGAGGGAAAAAATAAAGCCTCCGCCCCGCCTTCTCCCCACCCCTCGCTGCACCACACACAGCGAGGTGCTGGCGCGGCCCGGGCCGGCGTCCGCCGCCGCGTTGCTCCAGCGGCTCTCCGGAAAATGCACCCGCTGCTCGCAGTTTCACCCGAAGAGGACTGACTCCTGTCCCCGCCCGGTCCTCCAGCGTCCCCGCCCCGCCTGTCCCTCTCCCGGGGAGGCGTGCAGGGCCCCGTGAGTGCGCGCGTGGAAATTGCTCAGAAGGGACATCGCACGACTTCTGCAAATACCGGACTGAAAATTTTAATTCATCTGCCGCCGCTGCCTTTTCCCTCGTGCTCTTGAGCTCTCGGATGGGGATTCTTTCCGACTGACATTTCTGTGCAGCAGAAGTCTGAAGTCTGGGGATCATTCTGGAAATTCTCCTGATTTTTAACCCCCCCCCCGCCGGCCCCCCCAACTCCTGATTCCTTTGGAAGTTTCGCAGCAGCTCTGACTGGAGAGCTCGGAAGATTGATGGGATCCTTGCCTTATGCGTTTATTTGTACAAAAAAGGAAGCGTGACAGAGGATCATGCTACCCCTAAAAAATACAAGTAAGTTCTTTGCACAGGAAATGGGCTTCATGTAACTTTTGATGGAAACATTTGCGATTTTAAGTGCGTTCGAGTAAATTGGATTTCCAGGCAGTTGAATCCATTCTTTTGAGCTGTGTAACTTGTAGTGTGTATGTCCTGCTTGCACCCAGTGTATAAAGGAAAATGCACCTGAGTTTGACTTATTGTTTTTTTTTTTTAACCTTTCAGCATCACGGAGGAAGTAGACCGATAGTACAATAATTATACATAATAATAACGACCCTCATGCAATAAAGATCCGAAAGGAATTTCGATAAAAATTTCCTGCATCCCATGCCAAGGGGGAAACCCCAGAGTCAAGAGTTCCGCGTGACTGAAGACACCCCCTCTTCCAAGAATGCAAAGCACATCCAATAAAATCGCTGGATTATAACTCTTCTCCGGGCTTTTGGGGGCTCAGGGTGGGAGCGGGGCCGAGCGGGCAGGATGGCGCACGCGGGGAGAACAGGTTACGACAACCGAGAGATAGTGATGAAGTACATCCACTATAAGCTGTCGCAGCGGGGCTACGAGTGGGAGGCCGGCGATGCGAGCGCCGCGTCCCCCGAGGCCGCCCCCGAGCCGGGCGTCTTCTCCTCTCCGCCGGATGCGCCCCGCGGCCCGGCCGCCAGGACCTCGCCGCTCCCTCCCGCCCCGGCCGCGCAGCCCGCGCTCAGCCCGGTGCCACCTGTGGTCCACCTGACCTTGCGCCAGGCCGGCGACGACTTCTCCAGGCGCTACCGCCGCGACTTCGCCGAGATGTCGAGCCAGCTGCACCTGACTCCCTTCACCGCGAGGGGACGCTTTGCCACGGTGGTGGAGGAGCTCTTCAGGGACGGGGTGAACTGGGGGCGGATTGTGGCCTTCTTTGAGTTCGGTGGGGTCATGTGTGTGGAGAGCGTCAACCGGGAGATGTCGCCCCTGGTGGACAACATCGCCCTCTGGATGACTGAATACCTGAACCGGCACCTGCACACCTGGATCCAGGATAACGGAGGCTGGGTAGGTGCCTGTGTGGTTGAATGGGAGTCTGTGCTTGAGGTCTGTGTTCCGAGATGCAGTGGCTGGCGTATGGGTGGACTCCGAGGTCAAAGGGAGGCTGTTGAGCCAGTGAAATAAAACCAGGTTACTTTCTTCCCTGCTTCCCGCCGTCTTCCTCCCAAGAAGGCTTTCCCTGGCAACCCTTCTGTGATAATTTCTTCCGTCAGGAGGCCTTGCTTGCCAGTCGTTGAAGGTCAATGATCCAGCATTGGCTATCTAGTAGGATCTTGTGGTAAATGGGATCCCTTGAGTGTTTCTCAAGCCTGTGGTCCAGGCATCCCCCGCTTCACAGTTACGTGGCTCAGGTAGCTTGTTGACGTCGGAGATTTCAGGGGCCACTCATGGCTACTGAAGCAGACCCCAGGGTTGGGTCCCGGCGATTTGCATATAAACAAGCTCCCCTGAGGGATTCTTCTGTGTGCCAAAATTTGAGAACCACACAGAAGAACAGACTCCACCAGAGGACCAAGGGGATGTCTTCTTTGAATCACTTGGTAAAATTTACCCAAAGAGGAAAACAAATATATCCCCTTTCCCTGGAAAACTTAGCTCTGTTTGTAAAGAGGTAAGTTAACATTCCAGAAGTCCTTGGACTCCAACCTACAGCGTGTATCACATACCCAGTGGGCATGACAGTCTGCCTTGAAGAATGTTAGATAAAGATGCGTTTCCTTAACTCATCGATGACAAAATTTGCATCAGCTGCAAACATTGTGGTCTCTTTCTATAACTAGTGTGTGATTGAAAAGTTTACTAGAATCTTAGTGTCTTTTACTTTTCATCACCCAGAATCCACATAATTTTGTTGTCTCCTCTGCTAAAAAAGCTTGCATCTAGGGTATCTATGTGAAGTGTAGGTGAATTGATTCTTAGCTGTGGATTCTCTCATGCCTTGCCGTAAGTTGAAGTGATTGATACCTGCAGTTTTGAAGAACATTTGTGAGATGATTTTTTTCCTGGTGCTGTGCTAGGTAGAGCTTCCATTATTTTGCCATGCAGTTGTTCTTTTCTGTGAATCTTTTGGGGGAGGGGTGCAGATCCTATGACTCAAGGACTGTAATTAAAATCAACATCATATATCTAAATTTATTATGAAAAAATAAAAGAAGAATAATTCTTGTCTGAGGTTATTTTAGGTCTTTTGTTTTAATCTGAAGATTTATCTTTGGAAAAGGATGCAATTCATTGCTTCCTCTTATAGTCCCTTGGGAAAATTACTAATGGGATTATTGTATAGGACTTAGCAGGAACAAAAAGTCTGGAAATGACTACAAGTGAATTAGAATTCATGAAGCACATTACACGTTTTACTACATTTTACAAAGTGTGCTAATGTTAAGGGGCCCAAAAGAGAAAAGGGCGAGAAAAGCAGATGACTGATGTGAACATCTGAGCCTATTTGATCAAAGTTGACAAAAATTTTGATGCCAGTGTTGAATGTTTAAAATTAACTAACGTATCCTAGTTTACATCTCTAAAATCTAAATGTTCGTTATGAATTATTTGCTGGTTGGTTTGTTGAGACCCCACATTATCAGATCTTTAGTAATTCTGGAGGAATTCACCAAAGGGTGAAAAGAATATTTGTGTTAAATGTTTGCTCAAGTGTTTTTTGTTTGTTTGTTTATGTTTCTAACCGTCGTCACCAAAGAGGTAGCAGCTTTCAGATTCCGAAACGATCATTTTAAAACCAGAGTAAAACTTGTTTAATAGTTAAAATTATATGTTTAAATATTCTTTCTAGTTGGAAGAAATCCGAGGTGGTAACTACTATCTATCAAGTAACTTAATAAAAGGGTGGGAAACAGACATATGTTTATGATAGAAACTAAGATATAACCTTGATCTTTGTCATTTAGTTGCGTATATTAACATCTCATACAGTTGAGGTTTCTTTTTAAGTGAAAGTTCACTTTTTCCTCCTTCCAAAATGAGAGTTTTCATAGTAGAGCATATCTCTGTGGTCCACAGGTATCTGAGGTTGATGAATGTAGAGGCTACATGTTACAATGCCAAACCACAATGACATACTGTAGAACATGATAAAAAAAAATTTTTGACGAAACCTCTTAAAGTAAAAATAAATCATAGAGAAGCCTGACTGGCTAATGGTAAAATGTGTAGTAGTTTTCAAAACAACACACAGATTGATGATTATATAGGAAATACTAAGGAATTTGGCAAGAAAGAAAGCGTGTATCAGGAAATGGAATCAGATATGTACACTTTGTTATAAAAATGGTAGCATTTGAGAGTTCCAGATGATTTGCCTGTTATTTTAAATGTGCGTTATTAATCTGAAGTTTTATTTTAGGAATTTGGTGCACACACAGATTTTCCTCCAAATTTTCACTAGTCGGGGTTGCATCTCTAATGCGTCGCATCTTGCAGCGTGAAAGTAGTCTTAACATCGTAAAGTTTCAGAAGAGAGCTCGCATATTTTTTCCACAGTGAAGGTGACCTGCTCTGTTCCTGGACTTGGTGGGTCAGCATATATACTGAATAATATACTAATGGGGTCTTTAGACTTGGAGGTGCTTTTTTCCTTTGCTGCTGATGCAAAGTCAGAACCTTCTGAGGCTGAGAAGAACTTTGCATTCCATGTTCCACAGCAGAGAAAGCAGAGCCTGGGGGTGATAGGCTTCTAATAGAAGGTCCCGGCAGCTTGCAAATGAAATAAAGACTGAAGAAGAGGCTGGGTGTAGAGTGGAGGGTGCCTTTATTCCTAAGCCTGAGTAAGGCATTGTGTGGCATCCAGAGAAAGGTAGGACGGAGGGAGCAGCAAGACAGTAGCAGTTCTTGAAAATGTCTGAGGCCGGGCCACTCAAAGTGTGGTCCATGGACCAGCAGCTTGAGCATCCCCTGGGAGCTTGTTAGTAATGCAGAAGCTCAGACCCCACCCCAGACCTCGTGAGTCAGAGTCTGTGGTTAACAAGATCCGCAGATGATTTGTGTGTACTGGCTAAGACACTTGATTCCTGGGGGCATCATTTGGAAGACTACCTGGGATGGAATCCTGCAAGTGTCCCACAGGTCCATAGTATAACCTGGGATCCTGAATATTTCCCAGATGTGCACCAGAGTGCTCTGACCTTAGGAAGAAATAGATTGAAATGAAGGTGAGATAAGAGATAAATTACTGTGTGCCCGTCTTCTTGAGACTGCTTTTCATGGTAGCTATACGGTTTGTAGGAACCCTGGTGGTGCAGTGGTTAAGCGCTTGGCAGCTAACTGAAAGGTCCATGGTTCGAATCCACCAGCTGCTCCATGGGAGGAAGATGTGACAGTCTGCTTCCATAAAGATTACAGCCATAGAAACTCTATGGAGCAGTTCTGCTCTGTCCTGTAGGGTCACTATGAGTTGGAATTGACTTGATGGCAATGGGTTTATTGGTTTTTTTTGATTATACAAGTTATATTGGCATCACTGGCCTAATTAAAGTAAGCTAGCTTTTCTACTCCGATTAAAGGACGGAGGTTTAGCTCTTTCAATAGCTCAGTTAGTTATTTTTTTATCCCCTCGTAGTACTGTTTAATTCTGTAAATGAGTTTAGTGGCCTTGAGACTTCTTCGGGACAAAGGGGTTCTTGCAAACAAAGGGTTGAGATGTAGGCAAGTTGATGGTAAGTGAAAATTGTTGGCACCCCCCAAAGTGGGGAATGTAGCAACATTCAGCTTAATGTCTTAGAAGACAGTGAGCTGTGGACTACTGAAAGAATGAACTGGTTCAAACAGGAGATTGTTTGGCTTCATTCTGTTGATAAAATGATGGGCCACGTTTTTCTTTTTTGGAATCTTTTGGTCTTTTGTCTTGGTTGTTTAGGAAGATAGGGGTGAACTTCTCCACACCCAGTAGATCTTAGCTTCATTTGTATTGGTTAGTCAGCAAGCGTTCTACGGTCAGCTCTCTTTGAATGCAGTCCGCATCCAGCAAAACATTTGATTAACTGGAAAGTAAAACCATTCTCATGCCAGCGTACAAATTGCTTGAAAGAGCGTCATTTTTATCGAGGCTGAGTATCAGCTGCTTATGGCCAATTTTGGCAGCAAAATGATAGGATTAAAAATAGCCTGAAGACAATCCAGTCTTAAATAATATATTTAATGATGAATTTTTCTTGGGAAAGTGCATCTTTCTGCCTGTTAAGAATCACATGACCCCTTTCAATAATTTATTTTGTAGGAAAAAAATACATTATCGCTCGTCGAGCTTTCAGTCATGTGCCGTTGAGTGATTATATTTCTGGACCTTCTTAACATTTTACAGTTCACTCAGTGCTTTTCTCTGTTTTAGAGCCTTTGTTGCTATTTAATGTGCATTGAAAACACGGGTTTCTTTTGTGCATCCTGTTACTCTGAGTTGTGCTTTCTAGTGAGAACATATTCCTCTTTTTAGCAATCCTTGATTGAACTGGTACCTTGCAGATTGCTTAAATGTCATGAGGCCATACAGCACCGCCAGGTGACACAAAGCCACAGATCAACAACAGAAAAGCCAAGCTCTTACTGTTTTTCCTTACCTTTTATTCTAGTCCTGTTCAGCGTCTTGGAGGGTTGATGAACGCACTCATAAAGCAGGTGTATGGGCGCTGTGGGTATTATTAGTGGTGTCTCCCACTCACCACACCTACGCACCGGTTTCCAAGGTCACTCATCATGTCTTAGCAATAGTTTAGCAATGCAGCTTTTCAGAAGAAGTGCATTTGTGCTAGAAAACAACACTGTCTTTGTAGTGCACGAGTAGGAAGTTTTTTTTCTCCTCCCAGAGATGTATTGTATTTGAAGTTCAAAGGTTCTGTTAAACCTTTTTAAGGTAATCTAATATCACCTGACTCAGGTATAGCAGTCACCTCTCAATCTGGTCACCCTTTCCGCTCAGCCACGTATAGAGGACCACTCACTGGATTCACTTCACTATGAAGTTTCCTTTCATTCCTCTGGGTTTGGTTCACACAAAATTA